GCTCCCAAGCGGCGCACTCTCCAGTGTGCCACCAGGCCGGCCCCCTAAGATAAATTTTACATGAGAATATCAAGAGCAGGGAACCAGAGCAAAGGAAAATTGATAATGTTGAAGAATGTTTCATATCTGCCAAATGTCTTAGCTCCCCCTTGAACAAAAATGAAAACATACTATCAAATTCTGTTCTTTAGGCTCTACTTTTTTAGACTCCGTGTAAACCCTCCCATTTAAAATTTTGTTTTAATTCCAGGGATCTCAGTAATGAATATCCAGGCTATTTTATTACTGGACTTAAGGACAACAGAGGAGTATTAACATGAGAGTTACCTAACTAATCATTTACTTAAAGTCCCTAAAATTTAAGAGCCCTAAGATTGGTTTCCTTTCTCAATTTTAGAAAATTATTTAAAATGTTTTTCACCATCTGCTAGCAAATGCATAATAATAAATGCGTGATTGGCAACATAAGGTGATTTTCTTTATAACCTAATAAGATAATAATGATCTGTAACTACAACATCCAATTGGAATCAATAGAAAATAGCAAATATTAAAAGATCCAGTCTTGAAAATTAAACATTGTCATTCTTTGCAAAACTATAACTAAAGATAAATTTGTAATTTAATGAAGAGGCCAAAATTACCCTTCGTATGCCCCAAATATTTATAATACGATCAAGACATTTGTATAGCAAATATTAAAAGATCCAGTCTTGAAAATTAAACATTGTCATTCTTTGCAAAACTATAACTAAAGATAAATTTGTAATTTAACGAAGAGGCCAAAATTACCCTTCGTATGCCCCAAATATTTATAATACGATCAAGACATTTGTAAATAGCAACTATTTTAAATTTCAACATCTAATTCTAGTGTAGGGATTTTTTAAAAAAGCCAAACTACCAGAGTAATTACAAAATATTTCATTTTATTAATAATTTATATACAAATAAATTAGTTTAAGAGGATTATAATACATTTGTACACTAGATTTGAATCCTACAAGCTTTGAACAACATCCAAAGTAACTAATCAGATTAATTTTCACAGGTCAGCTCCTCAATTTCATCTTCACTATCAGAATCTTCACAAAATGAAATTGTGGCTTGAATTGGAAAATTTTTCAGAAGAGTTTCTGCTTCTTGATATAAGTAATCATAACACTTTGATTTTGGCCAAAATAGTCTGAAAGAAGCAGACAACATAATACACTACTTTTTTTCACATTCTGAATCCTTATATTAATGAAATGGTCAAATTTCAATATAGATAGCAATTGATTTATGCATTCAGATACAGCCTTAAAATAGTTTTAAAATGCTGCTATCACAGTCTTTATGGAGTCTACTTGCCAAAGTACTAACAACTGGTTGATTACTTTCAATCTTTATCCAAGATGTAAATGGGATCAAACAAGTTCACACCAAACCCAGCGTAAGCATAAGATCAAAGTTTATCTTACTTCGGGCATTATGTATATATTTATTCTTACATAATACAAAAGAAGATTTGTCTCCCAGTTTCCAAATTCCTTTGGAAAAAAAAATGAATCCTAACACTACATTAAAAAATCTGATAATAGCCAACTTGATAAAGATGACAAAATATCATGCATCTTACACAAAGGCAGCAATCACTTCCTATCCTACTTAAAACTCACAAATTTAGCTCTTTGTTATAGATGTAGCCGATGTTAGTTCAGAAAAGTACAAAAAGCAATATTTTAAAAATTTTGTCTATGTACTCACAACTTGAGGCATAGAAAGGCTACCTCTGACCCCAACCTTGATCAGATCTCCCCTTTCCCCATTCAACTAAATTTGTGAACTCCATATTGAGATATTGAGAAATGATACAGGTTTTATACAAACAATCTGCATGTAAGCATGATTACCCCAGAATTTCAAAAATCTGACAAATATTACTCTTGCCATCTGGCCTTATTACTATTTTTCATCCAAGGAAAAGAAAGGAGAAGAGATAAGGCTGAATCACCAACTACAGTGCAGTCATTTTAGTGTAGGGTAAATAGCTCCATGTAGCCACATAATAGAGTAATTCCAACAAAGGAAAGGTTACATTATTTTCAGTATGCTCCATTTTAAAAGACAGAAAAATAGACAGTGTAGTTTATAAATGTTTCTAGCAAAATAATTTAAAAAGTTTATAACTTTGGTGCTTAAATAAGTAACTACCAATTATCACTCATTCAATAAATATTCTAGTGATATCTTTGTGCCCACATAATTCTTAATTCAAAGATGAATAAATCATGGTCCCTACCCTCAAGAAGTTGATGACTGAGTAAGTCAAAGAAACACAATATTAGCCAAGATAGAAATAAATAAAAATAAGATAAATTTAAGAGAAGTACAGTTAAATTGGAACCATAGTTCAGAAAAGAAGGAAATGCTTATTTTCTATTGTGTAATTAGAACTGCAAGTTCCAAAGAATGTTGTTTAGTTGTTATCACACAGCCCAGAATTTCTCACTGTGGGCCATTTTTCTTGCAGGGACTCCATACTTTCCTGGATCCCTCCCTGTTCTGATTCCTCTGTCTGCTCTGTGGACCTCTCTTTCTCGGGGTACTGGTTAGATGCTGGCCTTTCCCCAGGGCTTCATTGAGAATTATCAGCTCTGCCCTCTAGAATGACCTGCCCCACTGCCACGATTTTCCCAATCTTTCATTTACCACAGGCTCCCAAGTCTGTACTTCCCCTTTAGATCTTGACTCTGGGCCTGTGACTGAGGTATGCAGCTCTCTACCAAATATCTCTATTTGGATGCCCTCAAGGCACATTAGTATGATAAATGGAAAACTGGACTCATTATCTTGCTGCCCAAATCTGTTTTAAGCCGTAATTTTCATTTTCTTAGTACGGCATTCACCTGGTCACCAGCCACAAACTTGGGAGCCATTCTGGCTTTTTACCTCTTCTTCACCTACCATATCCAACACATTATAAAGCCTAATCTATTTTGTCAATTAATTACTACCCAAATTCACCCAGTCCCATCCCCATGTCCAATGTCCTAGAATAGCTCTTCATCATTTCTTACCTGAACAATTTCAAGAGCTTCCAGTTATCACTTTTTGTGTTCTAACTAAGCCAATATATCTTTTCTTTAGTGAGTGTTCTGAAACATAAATCTGATCTACCACTCTTCTGGTTAAAATCCTTTCAGTAACCCCCAATACCATCCACAGAATAAAGGTCATGGTTTCCCAACACCACATACAGAATCAGGACAAAACTCTGTACCGAAGTATATAAGATCTGGCCTCTGGCTACCCTGCTAGAATTACCACAGCTTCACACATCCAAATTCCAGCTCCTTGGAGCTCCCACAAGGAGCCATGGTCATGGTTTCCCAACACCACATACAGAATCAGGACAAAACTCTGTACCGAAGTATATAAGATCTGGCCTCTGGCTACCCTGCCAGAATTACCACAGCTTCACACATCCAAATTCCAGCTCCTTGGAGCTCCCACAAGGAGCCATGCTGTTCCACGACCCTGTATCTCTTTTCCTATGCTATTTCTTCTACCCCTACCACTCATCCATCTGGCTAACTCCTTCAAGATCCAGCCAGGTAACCACAGCCTATGATACACACTTCCCTGACCCATCCCCCTCCCACTGACAGAGTTAGGCACTTCTTGCCCTGTCCAGGCTTGTAAAACTGACCGAACTAAACTCCATTACAACACTTGCAAATGCTGTGATCATTTTT